AGTGAACAAAAGACAAAGGATGCTCCTAGCCCGGTTAAGCGGAGATTAAGTCGTAAATTGCTGAGCTTCGGACATGCAAAAGGTGTCATTGTCATCATATATTCCACTACCCACAGCCTTGGGCATAATTAACAAGATATGGCCGAAACAAAGCCGTTTTTCGCGCTTCTTTGTCAGCCGGAAAAACTGGTAAGGGGAACGTACTGACACCTGCCTTTTTGTCTGACAGATTTTTTTTTTTTTTTTTTTAATTAAATCACCGCATTATGGCGGATAATTGGCCGCTTGGCAGCTCGTTTCGGCCTTGTTCCGTCAGTGGAAAAATAATTAAGAACTCTTGGTGGAAGTGGAAGCCATCATCACCATCAGCGTCAGCATCAGCGTCAGGATCAGAATTTCTGCAGAAACAATCAGTGTCGGACGACAATCGCGAGTCCATTGTTGCAACATCTGAAGGTGGCTGAAGGAAGCACTTCAGGGGACTTTAATTTGCGGCTCAAAGGGCTTAAAAGTCCATTACTATCTGTTGGACAAACTTTTAACAGTAATTTCCAATGAAAACCCAATTTTTGCCAGTGGCTTTTCCAGTTTTCTTCTCTCTGGTATGCGAATCACCCAGACCATCACCGTCCCTTTACCACTCCTCCCCTCTCTTTAGTTTATTGGACTTTAATCTTTTGCGTACTGATTCGGCAACTTATTACTTAAGTTCCCGCTAAATATTTCAATAAACTTTGGCCAAAGTTTGCCGCCGAATTTCTGAGAGAAATTCCTGGAGAAATCGATGAGGCCAACTGGTGGATAATCTAATCTGGCGAAGGAAATAATACATAGCCCAAAAACGGTCGAGTGAATCGACAAAAATTACAATAAAAATCAATTTCCATATTCAATTTGGTTAAGTGGCGCTCGAATCCGGTATTCCCCAGGAAATGTTTGAAAAATGAAAATGAGAGGCTGTAAAACTATTGGCCAGTTCTCTGTCTACGTCAGCAGTTTGGCCATAGTCCTTCGTCCTGCAATTCTTTTGATTCCGATTTTGTGGCTCATTTATGCGCTTAACAGCATGCTTCCAGGAAAAACTCGGACTGGGCCAGTACAAAAAACGAAAAAAAAACGAAAAAAAAAAACATAGAAGGAAAGTCCAAACGACATTGTGTGACACATTTCCATTTTGGGAGAATTTCTTCATTTCTGCTTTGTTGCGTCGCCTTTTATTTACTGGGAACAACGGACAGCGAACAATGCACCCTGGTTGTTGGTTGGAAAACGGCGGTGGAAACGATGGAAATTGTGAGCTATGTTTGCACCGAATAATGCCAACCGAGGTCGGTGTATAAGGTATACGGAGTGAAAAATACCAGCACGTTAAATTGAATTTAACGTGAAATGCAGTGAAACGAAATGAAATTTTCGCTGTCGCAATGTCTAACAAGTTGCGAAGAAAGCAAAACAAAGCGGCAAGAAAATTGAGAATAAGCGAGCGAGAATTGTAGGAAAATGGCCGATAAGAAAGGCAGCATCGGGATTATCAAACATAATACGAAACTATATAGAAAGAAAGTGGAATGAGTGTATTGAGTCGAAAGCAAAAAGCAAATACTTCAAACGAAACGAAACGAATCGAATCGAGTTGAATCGAAACGGAGGCAAACGAAAGCGAATCGAATATTTATTGCCTTTATTAGCGAGTCGATTGAAAAATTTACTGCTCTCAAATTCTATCTGAAACGCTTCGCTTCACTCACTGCCAGCTGCTGGTTTTTCCTGGGGTTTTCCGTAGGATTTCCTTAACCGGGGGTCCTTTTTTTTACCTCCCCCCTCCCCCTCTATAGCCACTGTTCCGGTTCCTCTTCCTTGGGCATTGTGTGCTGGCACAGCGAGCAATTCATCTCAACGCGAGCCAAAAACTTTTCCATTTTCAGCTACCTGACGCTGATGTTTCATCCGAAGGTGGCAAGCATTTTTGAAATTTCGCTAGCTGCTGCCGCTGCTGCAGCTTGTTTTTCACTTCCACTGCCATTTGGTTTGAGATGTTTTCCCTTGTTAGGTCCCCAATATTCCCTCCCCTTGGAAGTCTATCTCTTCGTCCTGCCCATTTGTTTTCAATTTGGCGCAGCATCGAAGATGTTGTTTTCCATCATCGCTCAGTGGAGTATGAAGAAGTTCGCCCACTATCAACATCCCAGTCCCCTGGCAATTTGCCATTCACTCAATACGCAAATAATTGCGTGTTTATATTTGGGAATACGTTGGACGAGTACTTCAACGGCTCTAGCCGAGGTCAAGATTACACTGAAAGGAGGTTTTAATCTATTAGAAAAGCAGAAGTGAAAATCCAATGAATTTTCTAAGCTTATGTCTGAAATGATTATTACTCACACCTTAAAGTTTAAAAGTCACAATCAAAAATGTACACTAATTATACAAAATATTACTAAAGCAATGACTTAGATCTTATGTGAAATGTGCCAAAATCATCACAGATTTTCTTGCTTTTCCTGCAGTGTTCCCGAGAGCAGCAGCCTCTGGCCAGACGATGCACACTCTTGGGGTCCTTGGAACTCCCTGGATGTCTGGCTGCCTCTACTTGGGCGTAAACTTCTCGCATTACTGTGCCATAAAGGACACTCGAAGTGGCCTCATCTTCTTCGTATACTTCAACTTCTTCTTCTCCTTGCTTTGGCTCCATCTGCATCTGTCAGCGTATTTCCGGCGTATGTGTATGTGTGTGTTGGCGTGTATGTTTGTCTTTGTCTCTGCCAGTTTACCTAATTACATTCCGGAAATAAAACGTTGACTGATTGTGCCAATAAATGAAAATAATGACGCACCATTGACTGCAAACTGAAACCGACGAACGGGCAAACGGGCAAACTCAGGACGAACTTTTTCCCCGAGTTTTCTAAAAGAGATCCACAAAAAGCATACGAGAAGGAAAACTTCTTGCTCTGTCTGGTCTCCTTCCTCTGACGGCTTTCACTCTCGCTTTTCTTTTTTTTCTTTAGGTTGTTGGTCCTGACGAGTTTATTTGCTTGAGCAGCATTAACTGATTGTCTGTGATTTTCTTGTTTTTAGATAATGAAAGCTGCAGCAATCTGCGGCTGCGGGTACATAAAATAAAAGTAAAGGTCCCCGGCAAGTGTAACTTTTTATATGCTCAGCCAGAAAACAGAAATTGCTGGCCATTTATTCGGATACTGGATACGGAAAGTGAGATTGAGTGGGTCAGTGTGTCAGATAGGGGGAAATGGTCGGGGAATTAACATACACATGGACAGGACTAGATGTTTCATGGTCAGGTTTTCATTGCCCTGATATATGGTTATGATTTTCCAGTGGCAATTTGAGTAACAGCAAGGATTATCTGTCTTCTTAGACGGTTAGTAAACGTCAGAATAAATAAATATTAAAGGAAGATATTTTTTGTCTCTTTCTAGCCTCAAAATGTGGGAATTAAATTCATAATTAATTCATATTTCTTGCATACAATCCTTGAGATATAACTTTCAATGATTAAATTTGCAAAAACATTTGAAAGGCCATCCCATTTCCCTTACTATTCCGCAACAACCAACCTTCTTTCCTTGTTAGCCAGAGAATTCAAGCGGAATTTGGCATTGCAGCTGGTAAGATAACGTTTTCAACGCGAAAATGCTTTCAGTGCTCGACAAGGTCTAAAGCGTGTTAGCCATCTACAGCTTAGATTTTTGGCTAGCCCCAAAAGTATGCAAGCTTCTTCCGCTTACCCTCAAAATCTGGGCAAAAGCAGTGAGCTGGCTGAAATGGAAAGTCCGCCCAAGCTGAGGGCCCGAAACTTGGTCCCAACTAATTTCAGCACAATAACCCAAATTGAAGCGGTTTGCTGGCGCTTTGTTTGTCCCCGAATCGTGACGAGACGTGTGACGAAGACACTTTCGGCACTCGGCTAAAAGTCTGCACAAAAAAATCAAAGAGAGAGAGAGAGAGAGTGGGGAAAGCGAAGAAATGAGAGAAGAGAGTGAAACTATGCGCACAAACAGCAAGGAAGAGAAAGTCAGAGAGAGGCGGCCGGAAACAGTTAATGTTGCGAGAAATGTTTGCTATAAAAATCGTAACAGCTGTTGTATAGGCATTGGCAATATTGAAAGCGGTTTGGAAGCGATTAAATATTTTAATCTATTAAACTATCAATAAATTACGTTTTAGTTTAAAGTAATTAAAAAAAATATTATGAGGAATGTGAATATTAATAATAAATTAACTTCAATTTAATAAAGTTCGCAGTGAAATGAGTAGTTAAAATAAAATTCTTAAAGCAATATTAATATTTAAACTTCCTAAGTGATAAAAGAATATCCAATAATTTGAACTCAAATCACAAATTTTGGAAGTCTAATAATATTTAGTTATATTCTTATAGTAAATTAATAATTTCTTAATCAGTTCTTTTCTAACTTCTTATAAATTCTATATAAATTCTTTATAAATTTTATAAAATTAAATAAATTTTATATCATTCTTAGCTATTTAGAGATTTAGTAGCTACTTTTATTTCTTATATTTTATAACAGATTTAATGGCGTGAACCTGAACATGATGCCTTTCCAATGTTTTCCTTTTATTCCCTTTTATCAAAGCTTAAAAACATATTAAGTTACTAGAAGTTGTAATTAAATAATTAATTAAACGAATTTAGTTACCGATTCCTTTTTAATTCCCCAGTTGATTTGATTTAGTCGGTAGGTCAGGGTTTCCCGCTTTCCCCCTCAGTGGACCAATTAAGTAAACATTTCAGACGAACAAGAGATGCTATAAAATGAGAGCGGCACTTTCCTCAAAAGAAAATCTAAAAGAGAGCAAGACTTTTCCGGAGAGCAGCAAACACGAAGCGTGTGCAGACTTTTCCGTGGCTGCTGCTGTTGCTGCTGCTGCTGGTGTTGCTGCTGCTGTTGATGTTGCTGCTGGTGTTGCCTGATTTTCCTTGGGTCCTCGTGTCAGTCGCGTGCGAAAGCGTAAAGTAAACAGACAGGCGGCTAAAACGGCTGAAGGAGAACGGCAGTGAAAAGCAGGAAAAGCAGCAGCAGCAGCCGTGCAACCGAAGGCAAAACAACAACTCACCAGCGAGTTCCCACGCTGCTGCTCAGTCAGTTGAACTTTGACCACGACGGTAACGGGTTCGGTGCGGCGGTGCATTTTTTCAAGCGGTTTTAATCGTCAACCTACGCGGCGTATGCGCAACGTGATCGAATTTTCATGCTGAAACAATAAATGATGAATTCCATGTGTGCTGGCATATGGCTGCCACGTGCCCCCAGCTAAAATGTGACTAAAGGATTACAAGAGCAAGGCTAAAAAACACAAAAATAAAACAATGCATAACAACGCAACATAAAAAAAACGCTTAATTAAAACATGCAAAGTTAATTGCAAATGGCGCTTAGCAATGTGGTCACTTAAAATGTGCATAAATCAACGCAGGAATTGCATTTAATTAAGTTTGGAATAACAAAAGGAAACATAACAGAAATTCCAAATAGTGTGGGCCAAATAACAAAAACAAAAACCAAATAAAAAACAATTAGAACCGGAGGAAAACGTTTCAATTAAGGCAATGTCATCCAATTGAGATCCAAGTGCAGTAGTGACAAATTAAATGAAATTAAAGCGCTGATCAAAATTCAATCACAAATGCAAAACAATTGACAGCAACAATAACAACAACAACACAACGGGGTAAAATAAAGTGTAACAACAACAAAATGCCGGCATCAAGTGGATTATATCGCATCAAGAATGGTCGTGTCCTTGACAGGCTGCAAAAACCCACGGCACTTATTTTTATTATAGCATACATTGCGGCATGCGGCGTTTGCGGTAAATATCACACCCACACACACATGCACACAAACAAACATCATGACTTTTGGCTAAAACAAAATTGAAAGCCAACATAAAAACTTGGCGCAAAAATTACAGCAAAAATAATGATGCATATAATTTACATATTTCTCTCTTATTTTTCCACTGGTTTTCAATTTCATATTCATTGCAATTTGCGGGAAAATATTCAATGTATGTTGTTCAACGAACAAGATTTAATTTAATTAGGGCTGCCTGTGATATGTAATGCATGAAATATTGTCACAAGCCATTTGGCCAAATATCAAATGAAATAAATTCGAGCCACAACAAAGGAAGCGAATTCGTTGAAATCGGTAAAATCGTTAATTTGTTACATTTCATTGGCGCTCGTCGAGTGCAGTGACAGGTCAGGCGATGAGCGCGGAAATCACCTGTGCATCACCTGTCAATTGCTGACACCGCAACAACAGCAATAAGAGTCCCCCGAGCACGGCAAGAACACTTGTCTACAACTCTCAGCTGAAAGCTGAAAGCTGAATGCTGCCCCCTGCCACCTGCCACCAATTGTCTGTCTCTCTCAACCTGTGTATCGCCCTCTCTATCTCCCTCGATGGTTGGCTGGCAATTTGTCAAGCAATCAACAAAGCCAGAAATTGCCCGGCAATAAGACAGAGACCAGCAGAATGTTGGTTTGTCCAATTCGGGAGGGCAAACAGCGAGTAGGAATGCGAATAAACCTATTGAACAGGCCAGAAGTTGGGTAGGGAATGCACTGAGGGAAAAGCTGGTACAGTGTTTAGGAAAAGGTTGTGTATAATTGGACTTAAAATATTTATATAAATCTACTTTTAACCATTTCCTAACATTTTTACCTCTAGGAAAGAAACTCATAGTTTCCTCTAACGCATTTATGATCCTTTCTCCTCCTCACTTGACTTCCAAAACTTAATTTTTCCCAGTGATTTGGGCAACTTTCCGAATAACACCAATATCTGGAACTAGTACACCGGCTGGGCCACATTTTGTGCGTGCCTCCGCGGGGGAAAATGTCAATGGGGCGCGGGGTACTCCGTAAAATCGTCACAATATACAAGAAAAAAAAAGAAAACAGAGCCACGTCTTCACACACACTTGCACACAAACAGGCACACAGTTAGGCCCCAGGGGCAGCGAGCACATACACACACCACTGCAGAGCAGCAAGTGCTACTGGCGACTATCTAGCGCAACCATTGTTGCATGCCACACACCAACACATGCCTTTTGGGGCACACACTCTGGATCTGCTGTCGTTGTCGTTGTCACTGTCAATGTTGTAATGAAAAATGCACAAACACAAAAACAGAAAAACAAAAAAAAGACAAACTGAATCCGAAACTGAAAATGAAAATAGAAATAAACAGGGCCAGAAATAAAAATGCAGAATGCACAGGAGCTTAGGGCTAAAATGAAAAAACAATTTCAGCTGTGCCTGCCGCTTTTTATTTAGAGCGCATTAATATTTAGCCAGCCGCATGAACGTGCCTAGATATGCCCATATAGCATGCCCTCCCTATGTAGGCTCCATATATAAATCAATATTTTTATGCCAGCGGTGCATGTCTGTGGATCGAGCCAGGGGATTTTGAAGGCCAACGGGGTCGCTAGAAATGCATTACTCTGCTGCATCCCAAATCCGCGGCTCAATGGATCCAAATATTTGCATAATGTAACCGAAAAAATATTTTCCAAATTTCTCTGCCGCACTGCAGGCTATATATGCTAAGCAGGAGGAGGTGGCCCGTCACTGGTAGAGACCCCCTCGCAGGATTTTTAGATGGCTATATAAACATCGAACGAACCTGACAAATAAACGACACAAATATGTAAATACCTTCCGCAAATATTCACTTAATCAATTATTCGCGATGTTTAACAATCGTTTTGGATGTCATTCACTTTTAATGTCATTCTTAGAAGCGGTCATTTGAATGGGCAAACAAGGGGTGTATTGATTTTCTGGATTTATCTGAATAAGATTTATGCAGAAATTTAGAATCAAAAGATATTCTCACTGATTACCTATTAATTTTCCCATTTAACCATTAGCTTTCCCATTTTCATTTCATGTTTTTGCCAATACGTTTATTTTTAAGAAGCCAAAAACGAAATGGCCTGACTTCTTCGTCTACGATTTGAATATAAGCTTAAAGCGTCTATTTAATTTGAAAGAACTTTTCCAATATCCTGGCCCGTCGTCGTCTTCCATTAGACAGATCGAATCAAAAGTTTTGCACTCTGGTTTTCAATTTAATCTGGGTTTTGCCACCCTCGCCAAACTGAGGCAGCATTGTGTGGAAACCACGTGGCTCAAATGCCTGAAAAACAGTCGCATATTGCACTTTGCAGCTGCAGTTCCGTAGAAGAGTTTCAGCTCAATTCAGTTCAGTTCAGTTCAGTTAGGACAGTTAGTAGAGCATGACAATTTCATGGCCCACACACCCACACTAACTGGGTGTGCCGGTGTAAGGACCTCCGTTCGAAATTGTGAAATTGCTGTGAAAGTCGGGCAAAAAGTTAAACCCATTGATGCCTGCCTCGGGATAAGTGGGCCACTTGCGGCTAGGGCGGGTTAATTGGGCTAACTATCGCAGGAGCAGCTCCATCCAGCTGCCTGTTTCGGATTTTTTCTTGGCTGCGTTTGTTAATTGCCACAGACCCGATATCAGACCTTTCTCCTTTCCCTTTGTAACCCGAAACGCCGGAGAGAAAAGCTCTTGCAAAGAGCTGAAAAGGTTTTTCACACATTTCCAAATTAGTCAAATGAAATTAATAGTTGACTGCCTTCTGGTTATATAGGCATGCAATTTCATTCAACTAACTGCGTGTTTTTAAATTGGAAATGTAGTCTGACAATGAACAAATATATATTTTGTATTAATATTTGATTAAAATCACTTTTAGGCTAAGAATAAAATCGATCATAACACTTTTTTAGATCTTTAAGTAGATTGCTGAGCTATTATTATTGCTCTTACGTTGTTTTTCCTGAATAAATTATAAAAACAGATATTAATAGACTTTATTTTTAATCAAAAACTATCTAAAAATAGTCTAAAAAGCCTTGAACTTACCTTTCCCGCCCTTGATTGGTAAATAAATCACCTGCTAATGCCATGGCAACTCCCTTCATCACCATTTTTTGTGAGTTCCCATAGTAATTTGAGCCTGGCTCGTCGAGGAGAAGATAATCGATTGACAGTGCCAGATGACAAAGCGAAAGCCGTTCCGTACACAAGGATAAAGGATGCATTTGTTAATGATGCGCGATGATTGACGAGCAGGAGGAAAAGGCGGAGCAAAGGATGCCCAAGAAGCATTTGCCAATATGTCTTCATTGCCAGCATCATAATTTTGAGTAAACCAGACAAGCTGCAAAAGGTGGGCAGTAGGGCGAGGCAATCAGGGATTCGGATCCTGTGACTCGGGTCAAGGCCTAGATGTGAAAATGTGGCCAAGGGGAAGCTAGTGGGCTGGTTGAAAGCGCGTTGGCAAGCATAATTTAATACGAAACATGCAGGGGCACTCACACACACAGACACACATACACACTTTCGCAGCCACACGTTGAATGCAACGGTAACAGAGCCATAAAGCTCACCTGTTACAAATGCAGCACCACGTGGGCGTGGGCACATGCCCATCCATGACCCATTCCCATACTCATTCCCACCTCCATCCCGTTCCGTTACCGAAGCCTGTATCCTTACACTGCGCTGCGGCAGCCATAATAATCAGCACAAAAACTAATGGTCCCACACACACACACACACACACACACACACTGCCACCCGAAAGTACACACACGGGCTCACAGGCTGCACTTTAAGCGCTGAAAGCACGTAAATTCTACATAATTCAAAGGAGGCGCCGCCTTTTGGCAATGGCAAATGCGAAGACATGGACATGTGTGCCAGTTCACTGAGCCAAAAAGAAAGGTGATCTTAAAGCTGAAATAGTGTTTTGGCTTTAAGAAGAAGGTATTTAGTGACATAAGTAAATATAATTAAGGAATATTACAACTTATATGGTTAGTTTTATGAAATTGAAAAGAAGAAACTTGGTGCTGGTTAGTAAGAAATCATTTAAGGGAGGTTCGCCGTTAACAAAATGGAGGCGATATTAAACTATAAGCATTATCATTGCAGTTCCACAAACAAATATGTAAAATTCCTTAAGTTCTAAATATATTTTAAGGAGAGAAAATGTATAAAATATTAGTCGCTTACTTTCCAGCGAGTTGCAGAAACCTTTTCCAACTTACTAAACGATTTTCCGCCCAAAGCAGCCCCACAAACATATCCTTAAAATATTTACAAGAATTATTCTCTGTGTGACACATGTGTATGTAAAAAAAAACGAACTGAAGTGGGCAAGCCAAACTGCAACACTCAGACACTTTTTAGTTGCACTTAGCAGCCCTGCCTGTCAGTGATGTTCGCATCCAGAGCTCCTTCTAGCCTGATTTTCCAATTTGCAACTTTTCACCTCGCCCTATATATTTTTTTTAACTTTTTTTTTGGTTTCTTTTGTAGCTTTTTCGTCAGCTTGACCATAACAGGCAACTTTCTTGTACTGATACGGCGAGTCATGGCAGGCTATTAAAGACAGGCCGGAGTCAACTTACCTGGCCTCAAGTGAAACAACCGAAGTTGTGGTGAAAGTGGAATGCAAATGGTTTTGTGATTTACCTTTGTCTTGGTCGCCCCCTTTTTTCCCGGTTTTAACCACCAAGTTTGATCTCGAACCGCAGACAGGCGAAACCGACCCATCATCGCGTATCGAGAGTGCCTGATTATGATCTGAGGGTCTTTTTCCTCGACTCTTAGACTTTTTGGCTAACGAGCTGGTTTTGTTCAGTGGCCAAAAGAGAGAGAGAAAGGAAAATGACAAGTACCCGGCTAACTGAGTGACTCGCTGGCTTTCGCTTTTGCGTAATTACAACTTTGCCTTGCAGAACTTAAAAAAACTGG